TAAATGTTAAAAATTAATAAAACTGATTTTTTTTATCCCAAAGATAATTGTAAAATATACATCGTGGCCCTCCTACTGAGAAGACAGGGGGGGACCCCTGGTGTAGAACATCACTGTTCATGATCTGTAGTCCAGAACTAGAGAAAAAATCCACACAAATACATCACTCAGAACGACTTGGTGTTTCTTCAGTAACAGTTTATTTTCTTTTTCACATATTTAATTCTAATAAATACCAGACATGCATTTGTCATGTTGAAGAAAACCTGGACTAAAAAATATGGAAGCCGTCATTCCTAACTATGTCTTCTAAAAAGGTTAGTGGCCTGGCTGCTGGTAATCCAAGAGCTTTAGTATTTTCTAAAGCCAGCCATAGATGGATGCAATCCATCAATCCATGCAGTTGGTTGTACTGTAGTCAATCGATGGACAACCAGCCTGTCAGATTTTTTTTTTCATGCAATCACTGCCAGTGAGTTCTGACGTCATTTTCTGCCTACTAGCTTTGGATCGGGGGCTCAAAAAGAACCAAAGCTAGAGAGTGACAGGCGAGCAGCATTCTCATACAGAATTGAGACAGAACCCTCCCTAAAGGGGAATTTCTGCTTTATGTCCTCCCACCCCCTCCTCTACTGCTTTTGGGAATTGTTTTTTTTTTTGGGGGGGGGGGGGGCAGGTACCCGTTCCCACTTCTGGTCAGATCGCCTAGGCAATTCCACCGTATTGTAGAGTTTTTTTTTTTACAAAACAGGCTGAAGATCCTTCTTAAGCAATGACAGCCCCATATTTCCCTCAGCACAGGTTTCCTTTAAAATAAAAATACAGAGGGAGGTCAAATACATGCAAATAACAAGATTGTGTTCTCTGTGATTCTCCACCATGTTTGTAGTCACGTCAGGCCTTCAGCAGATTGCAGTACCTAGTCTCCATTTCCCAGGTAACTGCTCAATTTTCACTGGCCCTAACGTACTCATGGCTCGGCTCACCAATGGAGAATACAACAGACAAATGTTTATATAAAAAAGCATTTAGCACCCATGGAGTCAATAGATTTACCTTTATTCATGTCACAAACGCCTCGGAGGTTGCTCCCAGTTATATCTGAATGTGAACCGTTGATGAATGGGAGATAGGTAGGATCACAAAGTGTCTATCAACGGAGGCCACAATGAAAAACAGTATAGCCCGACATAACCAGACCCCAATTTAAGATATGAACCATGGCCTCAGAGTTTCAGAAATGCACCAAATGCCCTAAACCTATCATCCCGACACCTATAACTTCCTCTGCAGCCAACATGAACACCCCATTACTTCTTGTGCCCAACCCATATCATCTCTCCTTCACACCTAACCTCCACCCACTTCTTTACCACCACCCATATTGCACAATATGCTCCCCTTTTCCAGAGGAAACTAAATTAGCTCCACAATTACTTAAAGTAGAATTCCACGCTAAACCTAACTAGCCTTAACATGATACCTGCCCCCTCCACCTATTCTGACTAACCTGTGTAAGAAAGATGTATATACTTACCTATTTTCAGTCCGATCCTGTCTGGTCGTGTGATCATCTGTGTCAGCCAGTGGTGGCTGCAGGGAAGAGGAGCGAGTGCTCAACAACGGTTGAGTTCCCGGGAGCGGCGACGTCGCTCTTCGTCTCCCGGGAGCGGCGACGTCACTCTTCGTCTCCCGGGAGCGGCGACGTCACTCTTCGTCTCCCGGGAGCGGCGACGTCACTCTTCGTCTCCCGTAGCCTACTCGTTGTCAGCACTACCTCCTCTCCCTTGCAGGTGGTTCTGACCGATACTGGGGAGTCAGATCACATGACCAGACCAAAGCAGCCTGAAAATAAGTATGTACTGTACATCTCTTTTACGCAGGATAGCCAACATAGGCATCAGGAGCAGGGAGGCAGCATTCTAAAGGCTAGTAAGATTTAGTCGGGAATTCTACTTTAATGATGCTGTGAAGAACATTTCAATATTGTTAGGTAGGCCTCATGGACCCTGCAGAAGCTGGGGCCCCCAATGCAACCACAAACACTGCTAAACTTGTATTCACACCATTGATGCTGAATGCATGTGGCTCAGTGTTACTACAAATAGGTAACTATCGCCATGTGTTATCACAGCTTGAACTCGGCTATAAGGAGCTGCCACTGGTCCAGCGGGAACAGCAAGCCCAACTACCTACACATGTAGGATCTCTAGATATCTGTGCTTAAAAATGTACACTCACCGGCCACTTTATTAGGTACGCCTGTTCAATTGCTTGGTAACACAAATTGCTAACCAGCCAATCACATGGCAGCAACTCAATGCATTTAGGCATGTAGATGTGGTGAAGATGACTTGAAGTTCAAACCGATTAATGTGAAAGGGGATTTAAGTGACTTTGAACGTGGCATGGCTGTTGGTGCCAGACGGGCTGGTCTGAGTATTTCAAAAACTGCTGATCTACTGGGATTGTCACCCACAACCATCTCTAGGGATTACAGAGAATGGTCCGAAAAAGAATATTATCCAGTGAGCGGCAGTTGTGTGGATGAAAATGCCTTATTGGTGTCACAGGAGAATGGACAGACTGGTTGCTGTGACATTCAGATGGTAGGGTCAGAATTTGGTGTAAACAACATGAAAGCATGGATCCATCCTGCCTTGTATCAACGGTTCAGGCTGGTGGTGGTGGTGTCATGGTGTGGTGGATCCATCCTGCCTTGTATCAATGGTTCAGGCTGGTGGTGGTGTCATGGTGTGGTGGATCCATCCTGCCTTGTATCAATGGTTCAGGCTGGTGGTGGTGGTGTCATGGTGTGGTGGATCCATCCTGCCTTGTATCAATAGTTCAGGCTGGTGGTGGTGGTGTCATGGTGTGGTGGATCCATCCTGCCTTGTATCAATGGTTCAGGCTGGTGGTGGTGGTGTCATGGTGTGGTGGATCCATCCTGCCTTGTATCAATGGTTCAGGCTGGTGGTGGTGTAATGGTGTGGTGGATCCATCCTGCCTTGTATCAATGGTTCAGGCTGGTGGTGGTGGAATGGTGTGGGGGGGGGGGGGGGGAAATTTTCTTGGCACTAGCAAGGTGTACCTAATAAAGTGGCCGGTGAGTGTATGATGATTCTTGTACAGTACATTTAATAACCCTGACACAGCAAAAATATATACCCTTGTATGTTCTAAATACCTTACAGTAGTCAAAAATAGTTTAATCAAAATCCCCATATCTAGTGCAAGATAAATTCTTAATGAGAACGGAGCTTAAAAAAAAAAAAAAAAAAAAAAAAAAATTGCTATAGTTAGTCGTGCCCAAGCTTTATATTTACCCTTTTGTTTGGAATTCCTCCTTAAAAATAGAGGTGCACTTTCAATTTTGTGAGTGTGTCTGGATCCCCCTGTGCCTATATGCTCACAGCTGTATGTATGCAGTATAAGATTAAGGCACCGCTGTCTCCGAGAGTTAGTATCATGACGTCTGGATTGAGGTGATGAAGACACTACTCTGCTGCTCATGGTTCTCCTTGCTGGAGTGTCTGCCATGAGGAAGCAAAGCCATGCTTCTGCAAAGATTGCAGACTCCATACAGACATGCAGTAATGGGGTGGAATCAGCTCCAGGGAGACCACAGTCTTGGTGACAAGTCTTTTGCCCTCTGTCTTCCTTTTTCTGGGCACATCTTCTACAGTTCAGTTCTTTAAGTAGACAAAAAATATTATTCTCAGGGATTTAGCACCATCAGGTTAAGATTTTGTAACAGGTTTTACCGTTGGTCCACCTACTTACAACAAGCAGTCACGATTTGCTGCAAACATATTCCAATGTAAACTGAGCAAGTTATATTGATCTATAATAGTACCATTTGTTAAAGCCTAACTCCAGGCCTTAGTAAAGTGTAAATAGTTCATCGTTCATTCAATAGTTCATCCAAAACAATCTATTTACAGTGGGTATAGAAAAGAATACCCCGCCCCCTTTAAAGTAATCACATTTTGTTGCTTTGGAGCCTGAAATGAAGACAGACATTTGTTGTTTTATCTAGTTGTATAACATCCAACGTAACTGAACTTGAGCAGTTCTGCAAAGAAGAGCGGGCAAATATTGCAAAGTTTAGATGTGAAAAGTTAGTAGAGACATCCCAACAGACTAAAGGCTGGAATTAAAGCAAAAGGTGATTCAACAAAACACTGACACAAGGGGAGAAATCCTTTTTCCAACTCAGAATTTTTTTTTTTTTTTAAAAAAAAAATCAACAAAATCACTGACATGTCGGTGTTATATCTTTCACTTGGATGTTCTAAGTTATGAGTAAATGCAGCTGGATAAAACAAAAACTGTGTCTGTCTTCATTTCAGGCTGCAAAGCAGTAAAATTTGATTATTTTAAAGTGGGGCGATTCTTTTCTATACCCGCTGGTGCAGCGGCTGTGTACACTGTATAAACCGTGTGTATATATATATATATATATATATATATATATATATATATATATATATATATATATATATATATATATTATAGCTATAACACCATACAGTATACAACACCATGTTCCAGTACTGGGATGGGGATCTCCAGTCCCATTCCCAGAACAAAACTGAGTTGGGCTAAGAGCTGCTCAGCCATTCACAGACAGCTTTGAATTCCATGGCTGAGAGAGAGGCGGGCAGATGATGTCACCATCTCTGCCTCAGCCAATCAGAGGAAGCTTTGTATTAGTTTCAGGAATACAATTGCTCCCCAAGAATGGCTGAGCAGCTCCCAACCTGACTTGATTTTGTGCCGGAGTGGGACGAGAAAAGGAGCGGACTGACCATTTGGAAACTCGGGCAGTGCCTGAGGGCCCGGGGTCAGTAGGGGGCCCCATGAGATGCCCCTGGTACCTTTTTCATAGGCTTTTTTGAGTTTGGGCAAAGACACAATTGCCCGGAGGCCCCATGAGTTGTCAGTCCGCCCCTGGATGAGAAGCCTCCATTCCACTGCCGAATCACAGCGGTGTATACTGTATGAGGTGTGACAACTTCACTCCTGGAATGCCCATGGTGTAGCACTATGGTGGTGAGTCACACAGCCATTCACACTCACGCGTATTCTGACATGTTCTAACTTTCACGCTCGAGTCACTGACCTGTGGAATCTAAAGCAGCAGATTAACATCAAATTTTGCGTGAAAATTGGCAAAACTGGGAGTGATACTTTAGCTCTGTTACATCAGGCTTATGGTGAACATTACATGCAGAAATCAAGTGTTTTTGAATGGCATAGCCAGTTTAAGGAGGGGCGGGAAGATGTCCACGATGACGCAAAAAGTGAGCAGCCAAAAACACAGTTACAGGAAGCTGTGAGGAAAAGAGCGGAACTCAGGCCTGCCAAGTGGATCCTCCACCACGACAATGGTCCAGCACATGATGCGTTAAGTATTTGTGAGTCCCTGGCCCAAAAATCCATTCCAAAACTTGACCAACCACCTTATTCCCCTGACTTAGCACCATGCGACTTTCAGCTGTTTACAAAATTAAAAAATGCCTTAAAAAAGGACACAGATGTAATGACATTCTGAACATCCAGCGCACCTCGCGACAAAGATACTGCGCAGCATTCCAGAAAACAGATTTCAGGAATGTTTCTGGCAGTAGCACAGACATCTAGAAAAGTGCGTCACTTCACAAGGGGACTTTAATTCCTGGAATGGACTGCAAAAAAAATAAAGTTTGCTTACCTGTACATTAAAGTGACACTAAACCTGGGTTCACATATGTGCGGTGCGGTATATCGCATGTGATTCGCACAAGGACCGCACCGCATTCCTGTGCAAATCACATGCGATTTGTGTGCGGTGCGATCGGAGCCGTACATTTTGTATGGCTCTAATCGCACTGCACCCACGCCAAAAACTTGCAAGACCCTTTTTTGGGTCCGCACTGGAATCGGATCGCATGGGTATTCACACATATACACGATCCAATTCTGCACATCGCACCGCGTTTTGCGGACCGCTTTCGGGGTGTTGTTAACATACACACTCGCAGCGGTTCGCATGAACGGGGTGTGATTCTGATGCGGTGTGGAATTTGCTGCGCACTGCATCCGTTTGAACCCGGCTAAAGGTTTGGGTTTTCTTAATAGGTTATACTTACCTGCTCTGTGCAGTGGTTTTGTACAGAGCCACCCCGATCCTCCTCCTCTCAGGTCTCCCGCTGGCCGATCCTGGCTCCTCCCCCCTTGACCAATGCCCCCAATAGCAAGTCACTTGCTATGAGGGCACTGGTGTGTGCTCTCTCCAGAACCCCGCTACATGCGTCCATAAGACACAGAGCCACGGCTCAGCCCCGCCCCCCACTCTCTTCTTACTTGCTGTGATTGACAGCAGTGGGAGCTAAATGTCTCAGCCAATGAGGAGAGGGAAACCTGAGTCCCTGTACACATTGCTGGATCATGAGGGGGCTCAGGTAAGTATTGTGGAAGGGGGGGGGGGGTTGGTGGGAGCAGGCCACAGAAGATTTTTTTACCTTTATGCATGAATGTTTAGAACCTGTAGAACCACTTTAAAATGGTCACATCTCTCATGTGGCATCAGCTACACACACATATATACATATACACACACATACATATATATATACACACACACACACACACACACACACACACACACACACACATATATACAGGGGTGGACTGACCATTTGGAAACTCGGGCACTGCCCGAGGTCCCGGGGTCAGTAGGGGGCCCCCATGAGATGCCCCTGGTACCCTCTTCATAGGCTTTTTTGAGTTTGGGCAAGGACACAGGGGCCCCATGATCCCCTATTGCCCGGGGACAACATGAGTTGTCAGTCCGCATATATATATATATATATATATATATATATAGCCACACACAGGAATTTGTTCATTTGGCCCAGACTAGCTATTTAAACTTCACTAAACCCGGAGTTAGACTTTAATCCACAACTCACAATCAGCAATTCGTATGGATGGAATGAAGTAGATGGCATTTGCAGAGGTGAGATCTGTGATAGCCACAGCTGTGTACATGGTCATTTTTTCCGCTCTCACTTGCTTAGGCCAATAAATATTGTAAATTCGGGCACTTACTAGGTTCTAGCACCGTAATGTTCATATTCGATAACATAGAACAATAACAGTCTCAGAGAAGTCATCTATAACAGGGATAGTTGATAGACTCACCCGGTTATATTGTGGTGGCGGGTCGCTCAGACACAATGTGCGCACCCCTGCATTCTTTAGCTAGACTACCGACATGGGAAAGCAGCCTTAGCAATGCAGACGGGTTGTAAGGAAAGAGCTTCTTTCTGTACAGCCTATTAATGGCTCCCTGAAGGTCTTCCAAGCACTGGACTGCCCTCTGCTGGGTACCCCGGCCATGACACGCGTTGCCTCCAGCTTGTGCACTTGGCTGTGAAGGATGGGTTATTGGACACGGGGCTTTCAGCTCCAACTTTTTCATGTGTTTATCTATATCTGTGCTGTCAGCCTCTGCAGAGTGTGCAATGACAGGATCGTGCTTACGGTCTGCAGATTCGGACTCGGAATCTTCTGAGCTGTCATAGTCTACAAGGCGTTGAAGGGCACCCAGAGAGGAGCTTACACAGCCAGATGGGGAAGAAGGTGTTGAATGCTTGGTATGACTGACTGGGGAAGAGGCAGGACTGCCCATGTCCATAGGAGTTGGTGAAAGCAGATTAGGAAAACGAATGCGGTCGCTCTGAATTTGTGTTGCTTTCACCGATTGCTGTGGACAGAAAAAGACACTGGACACAGTGGATGGGTGGAAACTTCCGGACTTATCAAATAAAGTACATATGAGACAGAACCGAGGCCAGTCAGAATTCAGCAGCTTCAGGTACCTGACAAAGTATTCCAGGAAGCAGGTCTCTGAGGAGATCAGAAAATCCAGCAGCACCGATGAATCATACAAAACATTGCTGAGCAGGAACAGGAAGATGCAGTGAGGGTCGCAACCCGCCTGATGTGAGGACCCGCTCCATACGGACTTCTCCGGTTCACAGCTTCTAGATTGCGAACAAAGGCTGCAACACGAGACTAATTAATATGCAAAGCAAGGTCTGTCTGTTCATAGGTAACAGTAAAATACAGAGCAGGAAAAACATTCAGAACCAGGAGTGATGGGTAGTGAAAAAGATGAAGGAGAATACACTGGGATAGTCCCGACTACTACAGTTCAATCTGCATGTCACAGCATTTTATCCTGCAAGGTGCATGAGGGGATCACATGTTAGCCCCAATTAGAGACAGGAAGGCCTAGGGGAAAAAAAAAGCTTTTTTTTTTTTTTTTCCAAAGCCATTAGGGGGAAAAAGTGTGGAATATGTTCTTTGAATACCATGTCATAAGCATATTATTTATCATTTTCAAAGAACATATTCCACACTTTTCCCCCCTAATTTTTACAGGAAAAACAAAAATGGCTTTGGAAAAAAAAAAAAAAAAAAAAAAAAAAAAAAACTTTGTTACTCAACCGGGGCTCTGCCAAGATCTGCCCATTCATCACAAGTAGGAGACGGGAGGATTGCATCCCCACATAGCTTACAGTAAAGCTGCAGAGGGCAATAACTCAGGAGGCCCTCCCCTCCTGTCTGCCCCAGGTGCCTGTGTATGATATCACTCAGGAGGCCCTCCCTCCCTGTGTGTGACATCACTCAGCTGGCCCTCCCCTCCTGTCTGCCCCAGGTGCCTGTGTATGACATCACTCAGGAGGCCCTCCCTCCCTGTGTGACATCACTCAGCAGGCCCTCCCTCCGTGTGTGTGACATCACTCAGGCTGGCCCTCCCATCCTGTCTGCCCCAGGTGCCTGTGTGTGACATCACTCAGGAGGCCCTCCTTCCCTGTGTGTGACATCACTCAGGAGGCCCTCCCTCCTGTCTGCCCCAGGTGCCTGTGTGTGACATCACTCAGGAGGCCCTCCCTCCCTATGTGTGACATCACTCAGCAGGCCCTCCCTCCCTGTGTGCGACATCACTCAGGCTGGCCCTCCCCTCCTGTCTGCCCCAGGTGCCTGTGTGTGACATCACTCAGGAGGCCCTCCCTCCCTGTGTGTGACATCACTCAGGAGGCCCTCCCTGTGTGTGACATCACTCAGGAGGCCCTCCCCCCTGTGTGTGTGACATCACTCAGCAGGCCCCCTCCCTCCCTCAGCAGGTCCCTCCCTGTGTGCGACATCACTCAGCAGGCCCTCCCCTCCTGTCTGCCCCAGGTGCCTGTGTGTGACATCACTCAGGAGGGACAAGAGAGGAGAGCGGGATCAGCATGCCAGACATGATCCCGAAACTATCCTAAGCTACTCTGCAAGAGGAAAACTGCTACAAACCCCAGTATTGTACCCTCCAGTACGGTTTCCTGCTAGCCCCCGTGCTGTGCTCCACTGCCCTACCCCCATACTCTTCCATCCTGCTTCCCATACTGTTCTCCTCTGCCCCCCCCCCCGTACTGTTCCTCCTGCTTCCCATACAGTTCTCACCTGGCCCCCCTGCACCGTTTCCTCCTGGCCCCCCTATACAGTTCTCTCCTGGCCCCCCTGTACTGTGCTGTGCTCTTCTACCCCTCCCCCCCTGTACTGTTCTCTCCTGAGCCCCAACCCCATACAGTTCTCTCCTACCCTCCTCCCCCATACAGTTCTCTCCTGGCCCCCCTGTGCTGTGCTCTTCTACCCCTTCCCACCCTGTACTGTTCCCTCCTGAGCCTCAACCCCATACAGTTCTCTCCTGGTCCCCCCTGCACTGTTCTCTCCTCCCCTCCCCCCTATACAGTTCTCTCCTGGCCCCCCTGCACTGTTCTCTCTTACCCTCCCCCCCCATACAGTTCTCTCCTGGCCCCCCTGTGCTGTGCTCTTCTGCCCCCTCCCCCATACTGTTCCCTCCTGAGCCCCAACCCCATACAGTTGTCTCCTGGCCCCCCTGCACTGTTGCCTGCTGATCTCCTGTACACTACTTATCTCAAGTTTGACCCAGAATTTGTCTGTGCAAAAAAAAAAATTTAAAAATAAAGAAAAAAACCCAAGCACAAGTTTCACGATAAGGAGGTAAGTT